CTCTCTCTCTCTCTCTCTCTCTCCCTCTCTCTCTTCTCTCTCTTTCTCTCTCTCTCTCTCTCTCTCTCTCTCTCTCCCCCTATCTCTCTCTCTCTCTCTCTCTCTCTGTGCGCGTTGCCGTGAGCAGCCTCCAACACCACTGTCGCGTGGGCGACAACACAAATGTGGCCTACAGCAAAAAGTGTTGGTGTTGACGCCCACAACGATGGCACAACCTTATATATAAGCACACGACGGCCCCAAGGCCCGCCCAGTCCACACGAAGTCCCTTTTTTTTTTTTGGTGAAAAATGAGAAAAAAAAATGGAATGCCCGCGTCCCCGCAGGGCTCAGCCTGGCAGGCAGTGGCACGGGGCAGGGCTGCTTCGGCCTGCCCTTCGAAACAGCCCTGCCACGCGCCACTGCCTGCCAGGCTAAGCCCCGCGGGGACGCGGGCAGTCCTTTTTTTTTTTCTCATTTTTCACCAAAAAAACAAAAAAAAAAATATTTTTTTCAACAACACTCCTGTGCCCCCAGCAACCCCCCCCAACACCCCATGCCCTTAACCCCCCCCTAGCAACCCCCCTTTGGGCCGTAGCACGCTCGTACGGAAGACGTCCGTACGCCCGTACGGGCGTACGTCCGTCCGTCCGTACGGTCCGTACGGGGACCCCCCGTACGACGTACGGGGGACGACACAGCCGGGTGCAAAAGATAAAAAACAAGAAAAACTAAAAAAAAAAAATCTTCAATGCACTTTTCAGGGTTGAGGGGGTTAACCAGGGCTGAAAAGTGGGGGTCATTGTTAACCTCTTATGGGGATTGGGGGGTTGGTGCAACTTGGTGGCGGGTTTTAGGGGGGTCTGCGGAGGTCTGCCTGCATCTCGTCACCTGCACCCTACTCCGAAGGTCTGGCTATGTTTGTCATCTGCTGCGCAACAACTGTCCCACGTCCAGTTCATGCATATGCAGCAACGCCACAACGAAGTGTCAACTACCAAAATGCTCCGACAAACGAAGACATTGCACAAACAGTCTATCCTACTGTACCATGCGAGCTATGAGACTCAGAGGGTCAGACCGGTAATGATACAGTTCGGCCAACACAGACTAAGCGTGCGCTTGTCGATCAATAGGCGGTATAGGGGGCGATGTCGTGCCCTGCCCGTGCGGGCAGAGTCTTGTCCTCTGCCTGACGCGTCGACCTATGCCATCATCTCCATCCGCCGCCCGACCCCTGGGCATTTAATCGAAGCCACCCGGATCGTCGGTGCTTGTGGTCTCGCCAGCCTCCGCGGCTGTGGAACTGTCGTCATGGTAGATGACCATATCGCCTCGTCTCTTCTCGTCTCGCCCTGAACGGTCGACGCCATCACGCTTGAGGGTTGCTCCACCTGCACTGCTGTGAAGTGCGCCATGCGCATGCTCCGATCTAAGCAAAATGGTTGTTGGGCCTCCGACGCCTATCCCTCCCTCCGCCACTACCCTGACACTCGCCGCAGTCTGTCTGGTCGGATCTCTAGCGTGAAAAGTAGGTTGCGGACGGCGACGATGATATGAAATCGATGTACCTGTCCCCTTCTTCCTTGCTCAAGATAACCTCGCAGTTACCGTCTTGGTGTCGTGGACATTCGTTGTCTTGGTCCGCAAAGGCCTCCCATGTCGCTCCTTGTATGCTCTCATGGAGTCGTGACAATCACCATCGACGCGACCTATGGATCGCATCCCCGCAGGCACATCTGTCGGTCCACATGCTAACGCATGTTCCTCGTCGCCTGCCCTCCGGTTCCTAGTCATGTCGTCATAGAACGACACCGTCAACAATGAGGTGCTCACAGACAAACCCTGGGTGGCAGGGTCTACGCCATGGGGGTGCGGGGGTGCTGAACGCATCGCCATGACATGCGGTCGAGCGTGACCTGCATGCCCGCCTCCGACACCACGTGCGATGGGCCCGTCAGCGCCAGGCTGTACAACCGATGACCCTCTGTGCTTGTGGTCCCTACCAGTGCTGACGCCAGGCACGCCACCATCTGTGGCCAATGTCTGCACCAAATCCTATTGCATGTCCTCACCTCCGCTCAAGCCGACAACTTCAGGAACCTTCTCCTACGCCGAACGTGGCGGGCCTGGGTGCGAGTCTGCCTGAGGGCCCGCCAGGAATGATGACCCGTCGCCTGCAAAATCCTGCGCACAATGACCCTCCTATGCCACATACTCTGTGGGCACTCTCTCCATTGAATCCCCTAAACTGCGTTGCGCCACGACGCGCATGCCGCCACGACGGTTCCGTGCCACCTGCTCCGCCAAACCCTGGTCCAGCGCGTGCGGTGCTCCCACATGAAAAACGGCGGGAGTGCCGGAGACTTCGGGATGCAGTATCGTGTCGTCGGTGAACTTGTCGAATCCTCTAGACACTTCATCCGTGTCATCCGCCCGAGCAGTCTCTGGTGGTGCCACAAATGCCAAAGTGGGAGATATCAAAGCCGATACGTCAGGCAGACCATCCAAGACCGACTCTATGGCAAGTAACTCGCAGGTGGGGGGAAAACTGTCAGTGGGCCAGGCGAGGCCAACATGGTCAACCGTGGGAGGACGTGCATCCTCTCCCTCACGGGGACAAGTGGGAGTGCGTGCAACTTCTCTGTCCTCCAAACAAACGTCTACCGTGGGAGGACGTGCTACCTCGCCTATGGAGGGAGCCACGATGCTGGGTGCCCTGTGGGCGCCCGTGCAAACAACGTTGGAAGGAGGTGACACATTCACTCATCCATCAGGAATTGGCCGCCCATCACTCGCTGCCCCTTCTCGAGCTTCCACATGAACCGCGACTGCGGGTTGTGCCAGATGGCGATGGGACTCCAGTGCGTTCGCAGTGTCTCAGATGCACGGCGATGCCACCGGTGACTCGAGACGAGTCAACCCTGCTCCACTCTCCTCCGGCGCTGACATCACCGCGACTACATACGTGGTCAGCGCCTCAATGAAACTGGGCTGACGCTCCACGCCCCTCATGTTAGCATCACCACGAATGAAGTCCTCGTTCGGCATGTTGCATTGGGAGTCCTTAGACACGACAACCTGCTCGTGTTGCATGACGCGTGCCTCTGTGACGGTCGCATCGTGAAGAGTCTGAAGACGACGTCTGCACACACGAGAGTCTATGCTATTATCCCGTCTGGCCCCGCGTCTCAACTGCTTCAAGACGAAGCCACGACCACATACACGACCGTCGTCCACACACTCCTCAACTCTGTCGTGAGCGTCCTCACTACCAGCTCTGCCATGAGCTCCCTCGTCGTCCCCCCCACCGCCATCACCTATGTCGTCTTCGCTGCCTCCTCCATGACATCCATCGATGCTGCTGCCGCCGCCTCCGCCGGCACATCTGTCATTGTGCCCGCGTCCGCTATCACCTCCCTCGTCGCCGCCACCTCCGTCGTGACCTTTGCCGTCGCCTCCCCCTCCCCCGTCACCGCCACCTCCGCCGTCACCTCTATCGTCTCTGTCGTCGTCACCTGTCTCATCGTCCATAGCCTCTGGCGTCCCTAATGCAAAAAAATCGTCGTCGTCACTGGATGAGTTGTCGAATCAGAAGTCTCCCTCGTCCCAACGCTGGCGGACATTGCGGATGTAACTGTCCGCCCGCCGTCGACGAGTCCCAGAAGCAGCATGCCCATCACCACGCCTCAGACCTCCAACACCTACTCGCCCACGCCCGACACGTCCACGGCCTCCGCCCCTGCGTCGCCTCCTGTCGGACTCCACCACACGAGGCATAACTCCCATGTGGGAAACGATGTGCCTCCTCTCTCTGGCGTGAGTCAACTCCTCCTCAGTCACCCTCGCCAGTGTACCACTACCTCTGACGAGTTGTTGGTCCACTGCCACCCCCTCCTCCACGGTCTGCCAATAATACACCCAGTTCCCGAAGGCATCGGGCCTGTCAGCAGGAACATTGTCACACAATGACGGTCTATCGAGTAGTTAGAGGTTCCAGTGGCACCGCACAAGCTTCTCAACCCGAGCAACCTCCAACCCGTTGCGTGACTTCGAATGAATGAAGCTCTAGCGAGACCATGCTCTCTCGCACGGTGATGCAGTCGCCCAGATGCAAAGGATCCTACTAGCAAAGACGGTCGTGTGAGGGTACTTCGCACTCTTCACGGACCAAAAACCGGCAGGGTGGCTGTAACTATCCAGTGCTCACCGCATGTTGACATCATCAAAAGGAGGCTCCTTCTTATGAAACTTGTCGACCTCGGTAAGGACCTCTTTGTGTTGCGCCGATCCTTCTGGGTAGTCGAACAGGACCAGGGCTTCGATCAATCCCTGCTGCACCTCCAGGTCATCGTTCAGCGTCAGGTCTCGAAACTCGGGATCCAACAACATGGTTGTTGCGTGGGCGGGTATCCGGAACATGGTGCGCCGCCTGTCGAACACCTCCAAAATAGTGTCCTGCTGCTCCCGATCGATGTCGCGGCACACAGACAAGCAAGATGCAATCATCACCTCGTACCGACGCAAAATCTTGCTTATCTGGTGTGTGTCGTTGTCGCCCAACCTCAACATATCCATGATAGGCTCCAGCATCCTGCACAGAGCTCTCAAATCCTCCCACCATGGAGGAGACCCGATACACGCAGTGACCTCTGCGGCGTCCTTGCGGATCTTGCTCGTCCACCAAACAGTCTCACGCAAGCAGTCGGCGCCCACGAGCTGTGTGAGCTCTCCCTGCAGGTCCACAAGCCTCGTCATCATGATGACGTCATCATGATGACGTTCGTGCCGAAACAAGTCTTAGCCGGAAGCAGAAAGGTCTCCTTCGAGAAGACCTCCAAATCCTCTCGCGCGTGGCCACGACGCTTGAAGAACCTCGTCGCCAACCTCGCATGCACGATGCGGGTGGCCACCCAATGAATCCTGCTGATGTCCTCGAGAATGAGGTCCATCACATGGGGGACGCAGGGAATCCAAAAGATGTGTTTGACACTCTCGTCTTTCCGGAAAACCTCCATCGCCGCGACGTTTACCCCAGTGGAGTCCGTCACAAATGCTGTGATGTCGCTCAACTTCACGTTCATGGACTTCACCCTCTTCGACCACGTGGTCGCGAGGGCAGTGGCGTCCTTCTTGTCATGCATGACGCCGGTGGCCACATACGCTGCACCCAAATTTGTCCCGACAAGGTAGTTGCACAATGTTTGACCCCGGATGTTAGTCCAACCATCGGTCATGATTGTGCAACCACTCTCCGTCATCGTGTCAAGGAGTGGGCGAACACACTTTTGGACCTTTGCATCCATCTCGTCCAAAAGGGTCGTGCGCACCATGTGGTACGTGGGCAGTCTGGGCGTGGGTGCCCCTTGAACCACAGGGGGGATAATCATTGTGAACATGCGTTTGAAGCTTTCAAGCTTCACGGAGTTGAACGTCATTCCACTCTCGATGATAAAGCGCATGATCTGCAAATGTCACGCGTGCTCTAAAGGGTCCGAATAATACGACGTGACGGCTTGCTGCCGACAGGTGCCCTGGCCTCGTCCTGTTGTGGCTCGCCCACCGAGGATCCCGACATCCAACAACCCACTAGGACTCGCAAGTACCACGTACACGGCGACTGCAATATCCCGCATGTGGTACAAAGGATCCAATGAACCGGTCAGTACAGATGGGGCAGCACCTGTCGTCGGAAGCGGGGTCGGCGACGAATCGGACACCGGAATGCCAGTGGGGACCTCAACAGCAGCCACCCTGGGCACTGCCTGTTCCCCAACTCGAGGAAGGGAAGCAGCCTGTCGAGCATCTGCAACTGCGCGCGAAGGATCCGGTCTATCTGTCGTAGTAACATGGTCGGCGGCCGCACCTTGCCCCACTCGCGACAGTGGAGGTGGCAACCTAGGGTGGTTCGACGAACAGCGATCAGCTCCGGCAGGTGCCGCAGCAGTAGTAGCTCGTGCAACATGTGAGTGCCTGACACTGGTAAACACAGGGGCAAGTCCGGCCGAAGTGCCAACATCCCTCCCCCACGTGCGGCTCTTAACAAAAGCACGTATGTCGTGCTTGTCGGACGCCGCACAGCCCCCACCCTCCTACACAGGAGGGGGCTCATTGGCCCGCACGGACCGACCAACGTGTAAACCGTCTGCACCTTGTGTTCCAGTCAGCGATGAAGACGCTGGAGCTGGTGGACGTGGCGGTGTGGGACGCAGAACTGTAACTCGAATGGCTAGAGTAGTCGAAGGCACCACCCCCGAGGGCGCGGTGGTGGAAACGGGGGCCGGCATTGAGTCCTTGGGGTATCGTAGCGGTGACCACTGGAAGTTCGGATGGCCGGGAGGTAAGCTCTGCAATGCCTCAATAGCTGATATAAACTCCTTCGGACATTTCGCCATGTCCTTCGACCAGATGGCATGCCACACTGCAGCAGCGGCCGCCTCACATTGGAAATTGAAGTTCTCGCTCTTCGATAAGTGTTCTTTGGCGGCCTTAGCGCCCCCGCACATCGAACGCCCGCATAACCTGCACAGGCAGCGGCGACCACTTTTTCTACCCACCGCAGTGCACCCATCCAAATAACGCCCTCGTGCAATGAAATGCCACACAGGGTCATCTCTCTTGCCGTCGATTTTTGAATTAACCTTGAACGGCGAGTCGAACATCTTCGTTTTGTGACCTTGTTTGGCGGCATTGGACGAGTCCGCCGGATCCTTGCCATGGGGGTCTGACATGCTGAAACACTGGTACTACAAAAAGACGATGTTGTAAATTGGAGAGAACGCAGCTGCAGGAGCCGGAATCAGAGAGAGAGAGCGGCAACAAAATGCAATGAAACTGTTGAAAATGGAGAATCATAAACTATAGAAAGAACCTGGACAGCAAAGCAGAAACAAAAAATGCATACAACGCAGAAATACACAACAAACCAACAATAAAAAGAAATCAACAACCTTCAACAATCAAACAACAACAAGCTTCGCAAAGGGTAAAAAAACATAACAATAACGAAACAAACTTGCAACGCACTCAGCAGCAAAACTAAAAAAAAAAAAAAAAAAACAAAGGATGCAAAGACGGCCCAATCTGGCACCTCCGAGTTCTTCGGGGACAGCCTGTTTTCCCGTTAATTCCTAACACTGGCAGACATTGTCGCATACCGTAATAGTGCAGAGCAGACAAGAACCGACCTCTCTCACATCGTACAGGATAGCGCAGCGGACGACTAAAATACCAATGATCAACCCAATCAATGTCGCAATGCAGACCAAACATAGATCATAATAGCAAGGTGTGAAGGGGCTTGGCGCTTTACACAGGAAGAATGCGCCAGCCTCAAACATACACACACGAGGAGGATGGAATCAGACGACGATAGGGGAGAAGATGGGAATGTCTTCAACACCAAGTCTTCGGTACAGGTCCCAAATATTCCCTCGTCAAATGTCTGAATCCCAATGTCGAGTCTGGATCCAAATGTCGTCGAAGTCCCGAAGTCACAAATCTCTCTCTCTCTCTCTCTCTCTCTCTCTCTCTCTCTCTCTCTCTCTCTCTCTCTCTCTCTCTCTCTCTCTCTCTCTCTC